GAGTTTGCATAACCCTGGCACTCTTCTCCCATGTTGCCGCAAGCGGAGAAACAGGAAGACATAGTATGTGGATCGATTGTCAAGTACCTCAAATCCAGTAACTTGCGACTATGATGCGTGCAACCTGCTGATTTCTATTGTTGGGTCAGTGTGTTTCATGTAGAAGACAGTATGGCACGTACTCCCAACGCATTTGTCAACAACACTGCCTGAAAGAGGAACATGATTTAATCGGCATCGTTTTGGGTAATGGCCCTTGTTCAAAGTATAGAGGTCCACGTTGGTGTCTTGAGCTATTTGTGCGGTTTTTATCTCGTTTTCCACATGCACTTGTTCTTTTTCTGAGTTATCCAGTTTAACCTTTCTGTACCATCATCTCTTCTCTGACATGGAGCACCTTACCTTCCGAGTACTCTCCCCCCTGCCAACAATATATTTTGTTCGTCTCCCTTACACACCTGCCCCTCCATTTTGCACAACACCTTAGGATGCAGTCCAATTCAGATGCATTGTATATGCAATAATATTGTATTATCACAGCTGGGCAGCAGTGGCTCGTACCTGTAATCCAGCGCTGTGGAAGCTAGGGTTGGTGGATTGCACAAAAGTTGTGAAACTCCCTTTTGCCTGGAGCCTGGAAAAGGCAGGACAGCAAGTGGACTTATCGGCATCTTCTTTCATCATAACAGGGATAGAGTATTGCCCGCTTGTGCTTGTGGGTTTTCTCCGGGTGCTCCGGATTTCTCCCATTTGTTTAAACGCTCACTGATTGGCTGAAAGCATTTAAAATTAAAACCCAATATGGGATCCTCCTGAAAAAGAGTCAGTGTCGCTCTCCTGGACAAATAAGTAGATTAAATGAATAAAAATATTAATAAAATGTAACAACGATGACAAATATTTAAACAAGAGCTCTGCTTGAAATAATTGAATAAAGGAAGAAGAGAATTGAATAAAGGATTGGGCAAATTGTGAGAGGTTGATGAGTTGTGGTTGGAATGAACGGTATTGTGGTTTCTTTCCCACATGCAAAAATACCCAAAACAAGATTTGGTAAAAAAAAAAATCACAAGCAAAAGACTTTGCTGAAATTGTGTCTCAACTCAGCGAGACTCTTTCCTGGCTAAGAAAAGTGTTAACCCGCTGCGTGTGGAAAACGCAGGCAAGGTTGGAGTGGGATCTGCGTGAAGTCGTGCACACAGTGTTGTGCCCCACGGTGCATGTGCTGCATATCTTGCGCGACCGCCCGGAGAGTTTCTCAATTCACTTTGAGGCGGAGGAAATTGCCAAGTGGTGGACAATCCTCATCAGCAGCTCTTACTATGAAGTCCAGCGAGGTATTGTCTCCCGAGACAGATGTACTCTTGTGTTTTTTTTTTGTTATGTTACAAGAAATTATTTAAATTTCAAACGTTGGTTTTCGTAGCCAGTACTGTAATCCATATTTATTTTCATGTTATGCCGCTTAGTAGTTTTATGCCAAAAATCTTGTCATTAACCATCCACCACATGACAAGATTTGTTATGTTTACAAAGATATGATTTATACGTGCCGATGTATTGATCGAATGCTGACAAATAAAGCTAATTCACACCAACATACCACGTTTTGCTCTAACACTTCAGGAAGTGCACTCGGAAATCGAGCGGGCTGTTTCTTTATACGCACTGACTTTTCTGGCAGTCTGTCCAACAATGAAGGCCACATCTGTGCTTAATGGAGTGTACACCTTGTGTCCATTATCGACAGTGTGTTACTGATGCTAACTGTTACACATTGTTGGCAGTACCAAACCTAACTTTGATCTTGTTTGTTTAGGATTCTAGCGATTGAATCACTTTGGATGCTAAGAAAGAAGAAATGTATTGGGAATGTTGTGAGAGGGGAGAGGTTGATGAGTGAAGTGTTTAAGTGTTGTGATGAATGGATGGGAAGATAATTAGAGGTAAGCGGAGGAGGAAGATGTTGGATGAGATGAAGGAAGGAATGATCAGTCCATGAAAATTAGCAATATAGTCAGGGCAAGTTGGAGAACAGTGGAGATTTTTACCTATGCCGAGGACCTGTAAATTTAGATGCAACATTGTATTGGATTGTGATGGTATTTTATATTTTTGCATTACGTCAAAAAACACTGTGTTAGCATTATGCGAGATGCATGTGACTAAAACATGCATTCTGTAACTAGAGTAATACTATAATGCTGAGTGTGATCATGTGCGTGTTGATAATGCAGTATTGAAACCCTTGCTGTATGTTTTTCGAAACAAAGGAAACACACCGTGAAACCACAGGGGGCACTGTGGGATAGGCTGTGGGACATGATGTTAAAAAACGTTTAGTATTTTTCTGTTTGTAACTTTACTCCTTTTTATTCTATATCCTACACATGAATAAACCATACGGTATCAAAATATAAAAATAGGTTGTACCCTTTCTGGAAATAAAGCAGGTGTCAAGATGTTAAAACACCAAACAGAAACTTTTTGCAAGGAATTCTGTCTGCATTAACCACACGTACTTGTGGTGAACACGCAAACAAAAACATGCTCTGATAAAATATATGCATGGTCTTTGGAACTGATTGGTCCACACCAGTGACAGCTTTCTTTAGAGCTTTGTCTCAAACGGTGTTAGACCAGAGGACGCAAAAAGGCGAACGGCTTTTCGAACAGCTGTTCGCCTTTTGGTTAATGCAGACAGGATTCCTTGAAAACAGGTTTCTGTTTGGTATTTTAATATCTTAACACCTGTTTTATCGCCAGAAAGGGTAAAACCTATTATTATATTTTGATACTGGCAAGAAAGGTCAATACAATTAAATACATATTTGCCTGACCACACGGGACTACAATATTCCTATGGATTTTATGACTGTTTTGACAAGCTTAGAGGTAGCTTTTCTCATCAGTAATGGACAAACGTAGCCACGTATTTGCACGGTTATCTCTAAATCATCTCGAATTGTTTCAAACAACACAGAACCGTGTGCGAAATTTACTGATGTCTTTGCAGATTGTGCGGTGGTGTAGTGGTTAGTGCACTGCGCTACGAATCTGGTGACCCAGGTTTGATTTCCGCTCACGGCCAACACCAGTGACGATTATCTGAACCGGTCCTGGGCCTCCCCTAGGTCGACTCGGCCTCAAATAAGTATCTAGTGTGATGTGTAAACATCGCCACTAGTGAGACAAAGGCGGTCGGGCGTGCTGGCCTTCATAGGCGCTCGCTAACAGCACTTGCCCCAACAGCCTGTCCAGGCTATAGGGGTGAACCTTTGTTTTGTTGTTGTTGCAGATTGTGCAAACCCCATCAGTGCATCAAGGAACGAGTGCTTTTTGTACGCGTGTGTCTGTCTTTTCCGAGATGTTTCCTCTTACGATGGGCTTTCTCGTAATTTAACAGATTGCATCGCATCGCACGCATTCCAGGGAATTCATGGTAGTGGCAATTGTGGGGGGTGGGTGGTGTTGGGGTGGTGTTGGGGCGGGGGGGAGGTTAAATTTCAGTATTTCTTTCCGGATGTGTGGTTTGGTCTCATTGTGTGCGGTTGGCCTCCCCAACTCAGCCTCAAACGACTGCACTGCGATGTGTAAACATCGCCACTGGGGGAGACATAGGGCGGCCTGGGCGTGATTGCTGGCCGATCCACCCTCTCGCGTACGTACGTACCGGTTATCATGTACGTACATTGAACTTCTTTCGCACCGTACGTAGCCAAACACAAAAAGCAATTCTAAAAAAAAAAGTTTTTAATCTGGATGACTTAAAAGTGCATAAGCTCCCAGTGACGTCCTAACATCGGGATGGTCAGAGCGTTCCAGACGGCCGCAGAAGCGCATTCTGAAAGCAGCGCGCGATGCCGTGGCCGTCTTTGATCGTCGATGTCCAGCCAGAAGGGTTCGCTATGAACAGCGACTTGCCCCAAAACTCTGTTGACGTCCATAATAGTGTGTGTGATGTGGAGGGGGATCTTTGTTATTGTCTTGGGGTGTAAGAGGGGAAGAAGGTGGGGGGAGGGGTGGGGGGGAGAAGGGGGGGATAATTGGGGGGTGGGGTGGAAGGGATGGAAGGGGGGGGGATGGAAGGGGGGAAGGGATGGAAGTGGGGGGGATGGAAGGGGGGGATGGAAGGGGGGGATGGAAGGGTGGTAGGGATGGAAGGGGGGATGGAAGGGGGGATGGAAGGGGGGGGATGGAAGGGGGGATGGAAGGGGGGGTGGAAGGGGGGTGGTAGGGATGGAAGGGGGTGTTGGAAGAGGGGTGGTAGGGATGGAAGGGGGGGATGGAAGGGTGGTAGGGATGGAAGGGGGGGTGGAAGGGGGGTGGTAGGGATGGAAGGGGGGGATGGAAGGGTGGTAGGGATGGAAGGGGGGGGTGGAAGGGGGGTGGTAGGGATGGAAGGGGGGGATGGAAGGGTGGTAGGGATGGAAGGGGGGTGGAAGGGGGGGGATGGAAGGGGGGATGGAAGGGGGGTGGTAGGGATGGAAGGGGGGGGGTGGAAGGGGGGTGGTAGGGATGGAAGGGGGGGATGGAAGGGGGGGGGATGGAAGGGGGGGGTGGAAGGGATGGAAGGGGGGGATGGAAGGGATGGAAGGGGGGGATGGAAGGGTGGTAGGGATGGAAGGGGGGGGATGGAAGGGGGGGTGGAAGGGGGGTGGTAGGGATGGAAGGGGAGGATGGAAGGGTGGTAGGGATGGAAGGGGGGGGGGGTGGAAGGGGGGGTGGAAGGGGGGTGGTAGGGATGGAAGGGGGGTGGAAGGGTGGTAGGGATGGAAGGGGGGGGTGGAAGGGGGGGGGTGGAAGGGGGGGGTGGAAGGGGGGGTGGAAGGGGGGTGGTAGGGATGGAAGGGTGGTAGGGATGGAAGGGGGGTGGAAGGGGGGGGTGGACGGGATGGAAGGGGGGGATGGAAGGGGGGGTGGAAGGGGGGGATGGAAGGGGGGTGGTAGGGATGGAAGGGGGGATGGAAGGGGGGGCCGGAGGTTAGGGGAGGGGGGAGAAGGGGGGCGTGGCCAGTCTCCGGAAGTGATTGCTCGCGCCGCGTGGACCCTCCCCGTGGTGTATCGCCAAGGATCGCGTTCAGCGGCCACGGTCTCGGCACTGGAAGCTGTCCCACATGTTGCCTAAGTTGCTAAGGTTGGTGGTGGTTATTATGATGATGATGGTGGTGTTGTTGTAATGAATCGTGCTTTGTTGAGTTTATTGTGACCGCAGAGCGAGGGGTGAGAAGAGTTTGTTGATGTACGGGTGGGGTAAAGAGCACGGCACGAATGCGAAATGTCGAACAGGAAGTTACTCATGTTCATATTCTTGGTTATTTCGGTAAAGTCACGTAGAAGAGAAACAATAAAATAATAAAGTATATATATAAAACAATTAAATTCTCACGACGTTTCGACTGCAACACAGTCACGGGTTTTTTTAAGTCCAGATTAAAAACCGCCTCTCTCGGGCTGCACTAATATTGTGCACGGAGCTTCATTTCTCACGGATCTCGTTAAGGAGCATCAACCACCATCATCATCATCGGTGACCATCGCTACGATCTCCCGGCCCCCATCCAACAAAAACGGCGATCGCGCCCTTTCAGACGCGCTCCTGCGGCCGTCTGGAACGCTCTCGGACGCCGCTGGAGCCTGCGGCACTTTAAAAACCATCCGGATTGAACACTGATTTCTTAAGGACTGATTTTTTTTACGTGTTAGTTCGTTGTCATTCCCTCTCCCCGCCCCTCACCCCCTCCGAGTAGCGCGGTCTGCCACGTACTTAACTGAAGTTAAGCAAATGCCAATGCATAATGCATAAAGCATTCAAAGCGCGTCGATTTGGCTGATTATTTTGATTGCACTGCCCCAAAAAAACCTCTTGTGTGGTCCCAGCACGGCACAACGCTCGAATGTTATTCTTCAGTTCTGCTGGGACTTAACATTGGCATTCCAGTTGAATGCGCCGTGTTTTGCAATTTCCGTACCATCGTGGGTTCTGTCTTTTTTTTACGGCAAGGTTATATATTGTTAGTAATTGATTGCCATTATGTGGGAGCAAACATTTCCCTCCACATTTAGAAACGTGCTTTGAGATTATTTAGATTAATTTGCGGCTATAAATGCCCAACCGAAAAAAGCCATTTTGTTGCGCTATCATTTGTGGCCAAGGGCGCTTGTGAAAAACAAGTGAATACCTCAATTCGCTTTGCCTGGCAGGACGGGGATGGTTTAGTTGTATTTGTCTGTGTTTGGGTCATTTGTATACCTTTCTTGTACTTTGCACTGCTATCATGTTTTTGTATTGTTTGTTGTAACGGTCTTACCCTCCCCTAATGGGCATTTTTGAAAAAGAGCTTTATAGCTCATCGGATTCAGATTCGGAATTCTTCCTGGAACAGACGTCACAGTGAAACATATTTAGAGCCCTTGCCCAATCACCTGCTGGATGAAGTTGCCGTACTCCGCATGGCCATACTTCACCATGCCGGTTCGAGTGTGGTGGTCAAGGCGGTCAGAAGATTGGTTCAGATGTGACTCGCCACTTTTCTTAGCCGTGGCTTGCAATCACACTCGGGGTGGAAAGTTTTTGGTGAAGTATGGATACTCATCAATGTTCCACCGGTATGAACGTACTCTCTACTTAGGCTGCTGTATATAAAAAACAATGAGAAGCATGTGTTTGGTGGTCTGCATGTGTCACTGATGTCTTCTCTAAATCTGTTTGACCTTCATTAGATGCAATAAAAGCGATTATAGGGATCTAGTGGATGTGGCTGAAACAGTTTCAATATGAGAGGAGCAAACAATTATGAAGGGCGTGTTTTTGTTTATGCCATATGGGGCTCTGCGAAACAATCTACAACTGGGTTTCGTGAACACATGTTTTGTATTGTAACAGCCAGTTTGTATTTAGTTTTAATGTTGGCACACATGGCATCATATAATGTGGGGAGGTAAGCCAGGCAGCTGCCAATTTCTGAAGTGGTGTGACAAGAGATATTTTTACTATAACATTATACTTAGCAACATGCCACCGATAATTTAATACCAATGTTTTTGCTGCCTCAACTGGAACTTTTTACGTGGCAACAGACATCCACATGCGAGAAAGATCGAACTCAACTGTCGCATCACTTTTGTTTGTAATCTGCCAGACTGGTGTAAAAGTTACCTCGAAATTCCGTTATGTTTTGCTTTACAGCCTCTGAACAGAGCGAGTCTGGCATGGAGGCGACGCAGGACCTTTCGGAGACGCTTGTGCAGTCGGGTGAGTGACACCCGCCGTAGCACGACATCATCCGTGCACTGCCGTCTATCCAGAGCTGGCACACAAGAACCGTCAGCGGTGGACGCTGCTTGCGTGTTATTTGTGCCGCGGTGTGTTCGTGCGCATTACGTCGCCGTAGGCAGCTGTGGAGGCAGCTGCGCCAGTATGTGCACGGGGTCAGCAGTTCCATTCCCAGACTGCCACGCAATCACTTTTGTGAGAATTACCAAAGCGAGACGTATAGCAAAAAAAAACGCACACCGCAGACTTCACAAGAGCGGGCCATTTTTTGTCATCGTCGTAGCCCAAGTGTAAACTTTTAAATATTACCTACAGCACCATTGCAAAAAAAACTTTTAACAACTACAGTATTCCCTAAGAAGCCATGGAGCCAGCTCTTCCTTGCAAAAAGACATTACGACTCTCAATGGACTATCACCGGACCACGGAATTGAATTTCATCTTCCGCCCACCATTGAGCTCCCTTGACCTACCCTTAAGTGCGACAAGAAATGGGCAGTTGTTTAATTTTACGACGCTTTGTTCCAATGCCACTTCACACCGGCTTAATAGCCTCTGGAGCCTATGATCTCACAGTCCACCTTAAATTCCACGGCTGGATGAGAGTAATCGCCTTGTTTTGCTCGCAGTGGATCCCAAGCACGTCCATGTGTAGCCCATGGCCACACTTTGGTGGCACGTGCTCAGATGTAAGCACGCAAGCCGTATGTTTCATACATTTAGCAATATCCGTTGGCTATAAAGATTTGCAAATGTGCGAAATTTGCACTGTAATCTTTAAAAATGCATAATTATGCTAAAAAACATGAATTATTCAGGTCCTGAAGTTTATTAGTAGCAAACACATTTCATGTAGGCACCATTAACAAACAAATATAAACGAAAATAAAACCCATTAGTTTCACCAAATTTGTAGCGTAGCAGAAAAATTGCCGCTTGGTTTTATTAAAGCTGAATTGGAATTTAGCTCTTTGATGTGTTTTCGGGGTTTTTACGTGGAATTCTTCAAGAATTCAGTCCCTGAATAAGCTCCCAGCACGTGGAGTAAAACGTCGGACATCATGCCAAACAACATGCGGTACAGCCCGAAAATTCTTCTGAGAAACCGTTTAAAGCACAACCGTGAAAACATGTCGTTCCGAACTCAACACATCTCCCTGTCCGTCATGTGATTTGGTGCGTCCTGTGTGTTTGTGCGGCATGGCACAAGACCGCCCTGACCCCCCTTCTCGCTCCCCTCTGCCCGTTCCAGAGCTGCTGTCCGTACAGCTGGGCCGGGCCATCCACGCTGGCGATGTGGCGGCGGCGCAACAGCTTGCGGCCCGCCTGGCCGAATGCCGCTCCCCCTTGCTCGTGCAACTCAAGACGCCAGGACAATCGAGCAGCAGTTTCAGGTCGGTGCCCAAGCGGCAGCAAGCAGGGAGGGGTTGGACACGTGTTGGCGTGGTGGCGACGAAGGACGCCTCACGATCCGGTGACTCGTAGGTGCGGTTGGTGGATTGTGTGCAGTTGGAGATTGCTTGAGACACACCTGCAGGGCAGTGGGGGGGGGGGGGGCGGCCCTTAAGAGGCAAAAGTGGAAGGAAAGAAGGAAGTAAGTTTAGGCAGCACACATCACCAGAAGGGATGTTGGTCAATCAAGAATATTGACGGTGGAAGCCTAGGAATGGAATGCGTCCGGGAGGACATCGACGAGAGGATTTGGGAGAGATTAAATTCGTCTGTGTGCTGAAATCAGTCTGGGCGATGGTGCTTGTTGGATTTTTTACATCCCAGCATCGCGAGAGATGGCGGTGACTCAGCGAGGCCTTCAACAGCCGGTTGATCAGGGCCAATTATGATGATATTGATGGCGAGTAGGTGTTTGAAAGCAAGAGTTTGCGTGCGTTTCCCTCAGTGTGCATGGGCTTTGCTTTGGTCATTATGGTTTTGACTCGCCTGTAAATGCACTGCGAGTTGACGGTGGTCTAACGTTCTAAGTGGGACCATCCTGAAAAAGTCATGAGCCACGAGTGAAGCCCTTTATTTTGTAAAGAAATTACCAGGAGCGCACCAAGGTTCTGCACTTCACTATGTTATTTACCTTCGTCATCCATGGGTGCCACAACACCTTTGTGTTAAGTGCATCCAGCAAGTCGGACTTTTCCAGTTCTGTGTACTCTAAAGAGTTAGGAGAAGGCTTGAACTAAGGTGACCTTTTGATATTTTTTTACCTCTCTGCTGTTTGCAAAATGGCCCCAGGTAATGTGAGGGCGATACGCATTGGTTGCCATGACCTTTCCGACACAGAACCAATACAGCACTAGGCTATGTGTAAAGCTTTTTTGTGTGGGTTGGCTCTCCAGGATAAAGGTGCAGGTGGAGGACACCACAAGCTCAGTGGGGCCCATCTACGTGAAGGTTTCTTCCCACATGACTGTGGACACACTCAAGCAGCAAGTGAGTGCTGTCTGGTCTGCATTCACCGATGCAAAAAAAAATCACTCGTCAAGGTGCAGCCCTGCAAATACATGCTCTCACCGCCACTGTTGGCAGAAGGGCCTCCACTCGAGGAAGCTCTGGAGATCTCCATCATAGGGTATTTTGGCCAACTTTTTCACACAGGCTAGACATCTTGGAAGAGCTGAGTACCCACACTTTATGCCACCATAAGTGAACCTGCCAATCGACTAATTGTGGTTTACGCAGTTATACTGCTGGGTGGACGGACGGGTGTGGGAAAATGTAGAACCTTGCCCATTGTTTTAACTGCCGCGCCGGGAAATGAAACTGCGACCTGGATTGAAAGTTATATGTGATTACTAATGCACCACCACACCATCCCTGTTATTATCAGGGTTGCAATGGTTCACACTCGCCACAAGTGATTCCATGAATTGAGGTCATGATTCATTTCAAGAATAATTTATTTCCTTACATTTTAGACTCTTTTATTTATATTGCTTATCTTTTGTCTTGTTTGTACAGTTTTGTTCGCCTCATTAGCATAAATGTAACAATAGCATAGCCTTTTCATTTTTATTAAATATTCGATTCTCACATTCATGATTCTTAATAGATTTTTTTGGTCAGATCACATAAGATAAATTTGAGTTGTAAACCCTCCTCCATGCAACTCAGCTGCCTAATGATGCTTGTAACTATCGGATAAATGTCTGCGCCCAATTTTTTAAATGTTGTGGATCGGTCTCCAACAACACCAGTGGTGCTGCTGAAGCTGTAATAAATTGGCACATTTGTTCACGTGACAACCTTATTAATTGGTTTTGTCGGGTGGAGGAGGGTTTACTACACACACTTCACTTTCGCGATGTGACCCAAAATCAATTATAAAAATAATATTGGTGGTGAAAGCCTACGTGTTAAATGCGCAATTCGTTGTTTGTGCCGTGAGCTTAAATCGATTTTAATCGATGAATTAACGCATCGTTGCATGCCCAACAACCACCATTATCCGAGCCTTCTTTACAAAAATCATGTCTTTGTCTCCAGTTTAAATAAGGAAGTTCTCAATATTGTATGAACAAAACTAATGCATTAAGTGAGCACATTTTGTTTACAATTTGCATGCATAATTCCATCCAGATTGCCTGCTTTTCAGAACGAATAAAATTTTGTTTTCCAGCGCTCGCCTGCCCCCTCCCCTGACCGCAGAGCTTTCCGCGCCTTTTGCCGCAGATTTTCCGTCACTACGACATCCACCCAAAGGTGCAGCGCTGGGTAATCAACCAGCGCCTGGCGGAGGATTCAAAGTCCCTGCACAGTTACGGGTTGCAGCGTGAAGGTGACGAGGCCTTCCTCTACCTGGTCTCGGCCCAGCAGGCCAACCTAAAAGTGGAAGAGTACAAGCGCGCTCAGATAGATCTTTTACAGATCACAGGTACCTAATTGTTTCGTCCAAAGCACCCAGCCCCCACACCATCCTGAGCCCCTGGTTGACCCTGTGGGTTTTTTTTGCACGTCTTTGTTTGCGTGACAAACCTTACTTAATTGGCCGTGTCGGGTGGTGGCGGGTTTGACGACACATTTATATTTGCACAATCTAACCCAAAAAAAACTTTACTATGGATAATATTGGTCGCGAAAGCCTTCCCTGTTGAACTGTGGGTGTATCACAAACAAGTGCCGTATGTATTATTGGTTCTTTTGGTAAACAATAAAATTGTTTTTGATTTTTATTATTTTATTGTTTCCCTTCTACGTGGTGACTTTACCGAAAGAACCAAGAATATGAATCCCTGCAGTCACGAAAGCTTTAAATCCAAATTTAAGTGCCGTATGCTTCGCAGTGGACGCGAAAGGTCCTGCGACGTTATAAAAAAAATGAGTAGGCCATGTGTGCTGACGTAATAGTCACACATTACCACCACATAGCAACATTGCCCCCTAACTGGCAGACAAATGCCCACTTTGTGACGTGCAGGGACAGCTCCTGTCAGGGGGGGGGGGGGTCCCTTGCCGCAAGGTGACTCCATGTACAACGTGGGTGGAGAGGTGTTAATGTAGCGATGATATGATTATGCTTCATGCGATGATGGTAACTGCCTTTGCCTCTTTGTACTTCTTGTTGCTGTAGCACCTGTGTAAACCGAAAACATTTCAGTAAAATCGTTCATTTGGTTACTGGATTGTGCATCACCAGAGCAGTGGAAGGCATCCGGTGGCAAATATATATTGAAAGCACTGTTACTGTCCTATAACACATTTCAATATACTTCTTTGTGTGGCTGTTAATGTAGAGCAACACATTAACATTTATAGAGCGGTGATTGAGCCAGACAATTGCATCGGGAGTTGTGGAGTGTGTCGTGGTCATTCCTCCTCCCTCTGTATTTGTGAATCCCCACGGTCTGTTCCGGATGGCCACAATCGCGCTCTGGAGAGTTTTTCAGTTGCGTTTTTGCATCCGGCATCCTTCCTCATCTGCTGCCATAGTGTTTTTGCATTAAGGACGAAGCTAGAGACCTTGCGTTCGATCGGGTCTTTTACGAGGTGTTTGTGAGATTTTTTTCCGTTGATTCCATTCCGCTCTCCAAGCATCGGCAGCGGAGGTCCCCAAGTTCCATTGTTTAAGGGGGGAAGTGCGTCGATCTTGCGACTTCAGCCAGCGGGTCAGGGACGTCATTGAGATCCTGGTGGGTGGGGAGACGTACGTTTCTCCATGATTCGCTGGACTTCCCGGAAGGGGTTGCCGCTTCGCGGTGAATGGATGCGTGAGCGATGCGCAAATGACACGGGAGAGCCCAGGTGTTGGGGTCAACTTGAGGGTTCCAGTGATGCATCGGATTGCAGCGTCAAGGGTTGGACATCGACAAGTCGAGTGTGGCTACTTCTAGTCCATACCGGGCTAGGGCATTTAAGTAGTCTCCATCTTCTGTCAGTGGCGCTCCCGTCGGGCGGTACCGCTCGGAAGAAGGCTCGGCGCACCTCCTGAAGCTGAGGTGACACGAGGGTGGTTGATGAGAGGTCAGTAGTCTCCTGAGATATAGATGGAGCATTTGTTACCCAGACCCTAGGGAAATATGCAGATTGCTTGGATGTTTAAATGGTCATGAAATCATATGTTAAGTTTGCCTAAATGCTCGTTGATGAAGCTTTGTCTCTCCCTGCCCGGAGACATCCACGTCAAAAGCTCGTGTCGAAGCATTTCCACATTTGCTGTACATTTTAGAACAGGCCTCTGCATGCATTTGTGAATTTTATGAACAGCTGCATGAAGTGATTCACTGCAGAAAATGTAAGAATAGAACAAGTAATATAAGTATATTTTAATCTGTAACTCAATCTGTTCTCTGCACCGAGTCTCTTAGACCACGTGCTTGTGAGTGTGAAGCATTGGTGTTTTACAGTACTGGAAACTGGTTGTAAATAGCCCAGGCAAACAAGCAACATTTGCATGTTGGAGTTTTATGAGTTTAAAATAACTCCTTACTGTTGTATGACATTTTTGAAACAGGAAGCAATCCTCGCGTATGTTGGTGGACGCAACTGAGCCTGATCTGTGCCACTTAGTCTGCATTTTTGTTCATCACTTTAGAATGTCGGGCTACATGACTCATTTGAGCAACTGGGGTTTTCCAGCCCGTTGTATCTGTTCCTCCAGCCATCTATTTTCAGTGTTGTATCTTTCCTTATGTTATGGCTGTGTGTAGTTGTTTTGACTGTGTATAATTAGGGGCTTTAGGAAGCGTGGTGGATTTTCACCTACAGCCCCCCCAAGACTGCCTGTTATGCCATAAGTGTGCATTTTATGGCACGCTATAAATAATGTGCTCTAATGGCACTTGAGGTGGAACGGTAATGTTCTCCCACTTACCAAGAGCATAGGCTATAAATACTGAACCTTGAACTGTTTATCATCTGTGATTTGTATTCGTGTTGGTTTCTCAATTAAAACATCCGATGCATCTCTTTAACCTCTGGTTTTTTTTTTCAAATTATTTGCATTTTGTACTTTTATATCTTTAGCGAACTGTGCTTGAAGAAATAACCACCTTCCTCTTATTTAATTGCATCTTTTATTTTAATAAGGAGCACTTTACTTTCCCCAGGTATATTTTGGATGTGGTGCTCAGCCCCTAATAAAGGAACATCTTTTCTGCCTTGCATTGCTATTCACAACGGCAGACGAGTCGATCAAGGGCAAATTTTCCCCGCCGCTTGCCAAATCATTTTCCAGCGGGTGCTATTCATTTAATGAACCTCGCCAATTAATTCCGTTCATTCTGCTAACTGCGTCTGTAGCAGCAAGGCCCCTGCCTTTATGGGTTCCCTCGATCTGTGTGGGGCTGCCCACTTCTTCCCAAAACACCTTCAATTCCTTTAACTGAAAACCACTTTAAAATGTAACTTGACGATCACCCGCTTCGCCTCCTGCTGCGCACAACCCTAATTCCTGCATGATGTTTGACCTTGCTGGAAGTGATTTAAGTTCTTTGGGCGTCGAGATGACACGCATTGCAACTTTTACAATTGATTCAAGCTGTCATCGGCAAGGGTTTTTTTTGTTATCTATACAATTGTTTAGACGGTTTTCTGAGAATATGCCACAAAATGGTTCGCTTGAGGCTGTCGTGTCCAGCGCAGTCTCTGCATTTGTTGTTTCAGCCACCCCACACCAATCTTCAGGCCACCCACCTGCCATCAGCCACCCAGCAGCCCCAGTATTCTATGGTTCGTCATTATTGACATTTGTCGTGGAATGTATTCCTGTTACGTGAAAAGCGTTTTTTTTCATCTCTGTTATGCTTTCGCCAAAATAAAATCAAATGTCGTGAACCTCTAAGTTTGGCTCTTGCCATCCAGTTCAAGTTATACACAAAGGGGGCTGGTTGTTGTCGTCTGCTAGGTGGGCTTGGGGAGGGTGCACCGATTGTCAAGATGGAGCCAGTGAACCCAGTTTCTGCGCCAAATTGGCCCGCGGCCGAGCTAATCCACGCTGATGCACCCCTCTTCCCACCTGCTGCTGCTGCTGCTGCTGCCACCACCCCGAGACGGCCCGCCTCGCCACCTCCGGTGAAAAGCACCTGCGCCCAGCCACCCCGCAACGAACCACACCACACAGCATAGACGCTGCGCAGGGCAGCGCACAACACAATGCCACATGGCTGACAATGCTCTACTGACCCCAGAACCAATAATGTATGTGTTTTTTTTTACACCATTATAATCATCATAAGCCATGGTCAATTTCTACAATCTGATCTCATCGCTCCATCTCCTTGGTGGATGCCCCTTTGGCATCTGTCCGATTCCCTGGATGCCACTCCTTTATTATTCTTGGCCATCGGCCCTTACAGTGACAACTTGTATATTTCAATAGTTTTTCATTTTACATAGTTTTGTAAATTATTTGCCAGGCATAAGCACGCTCAGGATCACACAAAGTAAAAACTAATTCAACAAACGTCCATTTGGTGTTTGAGGGAATTAGATCGATTTTAGTTTTTGCTCTTAAGAGTTTTGAGAGGGCTTTGTGCTTTTTTGAAGTAGGAGATTGCTTTAATTGAGCAGGTCATGTAGATTAGCCTCATTCCCAGGTCCACTCGGTGAACCTGACATTTCATCGATACGAGTGCTGTCGGAAAAGACTTCACCATCATCAATCGTCTTCAGCAGACGCTGCATTGTAACTGTCAAATATGTACAAAAAACATTGGGCAATGTGCCTTTTACAAGGCAAAAAAGAGCAAATGTACACTTAAGTTCATCTCTCAAGTGTAGCTGGGTGATGGTTGCCAATGATGGTACGGAAGACCCATCATGAAATAATTTTTTTGTACTTTATTTTGCTAAATTCCAGCTCGGAGAATTAAAAAAGCCAGATTGGCCCTAATGCAATGAACATTTCTCACAAAGAAGGGCATATGGGAAAGTTTATTCTCTGAATATGTAAAAAATGTCACGAAGGGATATTAGAAGTAATTTGTGAAATAAACATCTGCTGGCAGGCCTCTAACACGAGGTACGCCACTGCTCTGCTTGATTTCTAAATTGATTTTTTGTTTCGGATTATTTGTTTCGTAACATGACGCCGATTGCACAATTGGAATACAATTAAGGGGGAAACGCTTTTTATTTTAGTTGAGTTTTACGAGCCAATGTTATGGATGATGGGTAGGGAAATAATAGGCTGTGCTTCTGCGACTGCCAACACAGTCCCTGAAGTGTTATAGTTTAGCCTCTTCAACCGTTAAAATCATGCAGAATGTGCCCTATCTCGTCAGATCTCAGGTGCTGGGGTGGATTGGGTCTGGTTGGTGTTTGGATGGGTGGTACTGCTTTGGCAGTGGTGCTGAAATAAGAAAAAAAAATGAACACAACCGTCAATAACACTGGCCAACAGCCCTTCTTCACAGGACAAGAAGTCAAAGAGGTGGAGCACATGCACATATAGGTTGTCATAGGGCTTGCAGTTCTTCATTGTAAGCAGCAGGGCCCAGTGTGTTAAAAGGCTCACAGTCTGGATGCCCCACCTTCCTGCTCAGAGTGGTGGAATATGGCCAAAGAACTCCACTAATCTATTTAAAACTTTTTATTTACCAGGTAAAGCCCACTGAGCTATTCACTCTTTTTCAGAGGCAACCTGGCCACCAATGATAGCTCAACGAAGTGGCTTATCACGTGGAAGTGTGTGGCAGCCAAATAATCTAAACGCATGTTTCTAAATGTGGAGGGGAAAAAACGGAGGACCTGGAGAAATATCCACGCGACCACGGGGGGGGGGGGGGGAGATGCAAACCCCACGAACTGCATGGCAGTGGCAGTGAGAGGCATCAACAACCAAAGCAAAATCTTCAGTGACCCAAGCATCTCACCAGGCGCCGGATTCATGAAACAAAAGTACAGGGTAGCAACAACTACCTTGCAGCCACGGCTTGCTTTTATTTTTATATTTTAAACAACTATAGGTAGAACATATTTGAATATATATTTTTATAATTGTATAGGAATTTCAATTTGTATGTGCACGCGTATTGATGTGATGGCGCTTGGAGAGGCAGAATTGTGCAGGAAAAGCACCACATGTTTAAACAAAGATTACATTGACTTGATGTATCAGCTCAAATTAAAACGATTATGCATAACCTGATTCACTCTAAACTACCAATGAATCTCTCCCATCCTTATCTTATTGTCATCTCCCTTTTCTCATATGCCTACATTTATGCCTCTAGAGATCTTTTGTCTATAGCTCTTCTGGTATCTCACTCAATTAGTAATATTTTAAATGTGGGCCCTCTAAAAATAATTCTAGCTCATGGCCCCCAATGGGCTAGCAGCACCTCTGCCGCACGCTGTGATGAGGCCCTCATCCAGCACTGGATTGATGCAGTTATGCACGTGCATAAGAGCATTAATGGGACAATTTGAAAGCATCACGTTAAAAACACGTGCATTCAAGTCCCTTGCACCTGCTGCGTGTACACGTTGATCGTAGTTTCATCTTATGAAGTCTGCCGCCAGCTGCCATGCACTAAGCCATTGGTTCTCAACCTTTATTTTTGGCCTGGCGGCCGCCAGTCAAGTCCGCTGATTCCTGAAAGACCCTCTGCCCCCCCCCCCCGACCTCCAGCCCAAAATCACAACTAAGGTTGCTAAGGTCCCAATACAGGTTCACGCTTCTCGTCAATTAGGTGGGGAGCGCCCCACAGGATTGAGAATCGTTGCACTAACCCAACGGCCTAATCGCTTTGAAACAAATGCACAAACACTCCATGCTGCCAATGTGTAACGAACTCTTTCCAGCCGAATAAATATCTACAGTACTCTTATTATCAGAGGCGTATTCCAACTTGGCACAGATAAAAACAACGTTAAGACGTATCCGGTCCCCCTGCGTACATGCGAGTGCAAATTAACGTGTGCCAACGGCATGCTGCCCTCCCAGGTGTTGGTTGGCAACTCGGCTCCACCACACATTTCCAAACCCCACAGCTCCCCCGGACTGTGTTCGCTCCTTTGTAATTAATTAGCAACATATGCCACATGCAGTGTCTATCTAGCCTATCCCCCTGTCATTCAACAATCATGCTTTAGTGTTCACCTTCCCTTTATTCCGCACACACACACTTCTGTTTTGCATGCACCCCACCACTCTTCCGCGACTTGCTTACACCTGCCCGTTATCCCTATTATTCATACTCACCCCTGATTCTATTGGTAGGGACGCATCAAAAAGTAAAATTAAACCTTGAATTCGCGGCCAGTATAAGGCGGCGTGTCCGCAGCGGTCGCCGGCGCATGGCTTGACGGCGGTGCGGGGTACCCGGCTGCTGCGGCTGCTGCTGCGGCTACTGCTGCGGCTGTGGCTGCTGTGGCTGCTGCTGCGGCTGCTGCTGTGGCTGCTGCTGCTGTGGCTGCTGCTGCTGTGGCTGCTGCTGCGTGCGCAGGTGGGCTGGCCGTGCCCGGTGTGCACGTTTGTGAACCTCCCGTTGCGGCCGGGCTGCGATCAGTGCGGCACGGCGCGGCCTGCGGATTACCAAGTGCCGGCGGGGTACCAGCCCACGGACCGCGAGCGCCGCATCACCGATCAGGAGATGGACAACCGGCGGAAGCTTGAGGAGGTGCGGGCAACCTTTGCTGTGTACGACGGCATTTTCGTTGGGTAAAGAGGTCGTGGTAAAGGTTGCGACTCTTCAATTTTGTGCTTGCGCCCACTGCTGGTGGAAGAGCTTCCAATGGAGGGGGCGCTAGAGAGGCCCTCTCGAGCAGTAGTCGATCTGTGGCTCCGGAGCCGCATGTGGCTCTTTAAGGAACTGCTTCCTGACGTTATTTAGTGAGGACCACCGTCTCTTATTCACTTTGCATTGCGGTTCTTGACATTGAGCTTTATTTACCGAATTCGAAAAATAATTCTCTACTTGTTATTTTGCTTTCTGACCCCTGCCCTAGAGGGTATTCGTTTGCTTTACATTCCCACGTGATAAGCTACTTCGTTGAGCTATCATATGTGACCAGGTCGGTTCTGAAAAAGCACTGTACAGCTCAGTGGGCCTTAACCTGGTTAAATAAAAAAAAAGTTTAGTTTGCTCGCCTCTTTCGTGCGACCAGATGTCTTGCTGGAGATGGGAGTGCCCACACTTTATCTCTCATTACTTGTGACCTGCTGACCAAAAATCCCACTGAAAAATGTTGCAGAATTATTCAGAATGCCTGTTTACTCAACGAACCTGCTGCCCCCCCCACCTCTGTCCTCCCAGCAGTATAAATGGTGGCACCACAGTCGATCGGCAGGTCGTGTGTGATTGGGTAAAGTTCGGGTAATCTCACCTCTTCAAAGACGTATGGCCAGCGTGAAAGAGTAGGCTAATTACCCTCTATAGAGGCGCTTTAGAGCTCCCCTTTAGTGTCGGCTCTTCTGCCAGCAGTAGCACGAGCGGGCAATTGTAGGGCTGCACCTTTACCTTTCACAGAATCTTTGTTATATTTACTGTGTGTATGCTGACCGTCTTTCGCGCACCGTACGTAGCCCACAGTGCTAATTGTAGGTGCGGGGGAAGGACGACAACAGCGGTGTGGGAGTGTGACCAAGCCTTGCGTGCCCTGTCGTGAGCCCGAGTGTTGCAACAATTCCCAAACGCGTGGGCGCCCGCTGGTGTCGCAGACTCGCGTGAAGAAGCGGCGGGAAAACTTCCAGCGCTTGATGCAGGAGGACGAGCAGGAGCTGGTGCCCAACAAGGAGGCGTTCACGTGCCCCATCTGTTTCGTGGACTATGAGCCCGGCGAGGGGGTCACTCTGCGCGAGTGCCTGCACAACTTCTGCAAGTAGGTTCAACACGTAGGCTTTCATTCATCCGTACAAGCCCCTCCGGTCGTTAAGATCGGCAGACTCCGCCCTTCTGTGTGCGTACCTCGATCCCGGCTGCGTTCCCGGGACAAGCGGGCATTTGCTGTGTCTGCGCCACGGTTGTAGAATACCCTTCCCGTTGGAAATTCGTTGATCCTATAATGTGGATACTTTTAAGTCTTGTCTTACAACGCATCTTAAGTCAGTTTATTCTATTTAGCTTCTCCTCTCTTGGCCTTTATTCTAACAAGGCGCCCTTGAGACATTTGTGGAAGGCGCCTTAGAAATTAATGTAAATTATTTTTACGTTATTCATATCACAAGGTTTTTGGGTTTGATCGCGTTAAAATAAATGTGTCGTTTACCCATAGCCACCACCACCCGACACGGCCAGTTAGTAAGGTTTGTCACGTAAAGACAACGCGCCATTTAGATACTGCTTCAGCACACCGGGGTATTGGAGGGTGAACCCACAAGATTTACAATTTGAGTACGGCGTTTTGCTGGCGATTACAAACAGCATCATCAGGCGATTTGTCAAAATTGTGAAGAAGTCTTCCTGCTTCGGTCTTAAATAGAGTAAAGGTGATGTCATCACTGTGAGCCTATCAGGTGCGAGGATGAGCGGTGGGGGGTTAATGTAATCGTATAACGACACAATTATATTCACGCTATTTACCGCAAAAAAAACCTTCATTATGAATTCTGCAAGTACGAGCAGGGGGGAGGCCGCTTGGCTTAGCACGACTCGCTTTGTTATTCACACGGTTGTTGTTTTTCTTGTAATCCTCTTCACCCGTTTGAAGAAAGGTTTCTGCACTCGCAATATATGTCTATTAAACCTGCCACAACAAACGATTGTATACTGTGCATATAAATTGGGGTAACTGACTAAGAGACGCTGTCTGTGAGTTACGCGGTTGTGCTGCATATATCTCCCGACGTGTTTTCGGGTTTGTGCCGTGTGTGGTTCGGCAACGATGTCTGACGTTTCGCTCCACGTGCCGACAGCTTCCTTTCAACGCATAGCACAAACCCGAAAATACGTCGCAGAGCCGTTTGTGAGTTATTCTGGCCATGCTATGAAATTTAGCAGATTAAAACGTGTTGGCGTGTACCATCCATTGTCGTCGTAGTCATCGTCACTGACAACTGCCACCGCATGCCTGTACCTTCAGGGACTGCTTGCACGGCACCATCGTGAACTGCGAGGATGCAGAGGTTACGTGCCCCAACCAGGACGGTGAAATCAGCTGCGAGTTTAAGCTGCACCAGCGAGAGATCAAGGCCGTGAGTGTCGTCATGGGTCAGCGCCCCCGTTTTCGAAGCTGCGATGGCCACTCTTTGCCGGGGCCTCCTCCCCGCATTTAATGAATCCTGCTGCCAGATGCGGGAGAATCTGCCACAGTGGTGTCATGGTTAGCGCATTCGATTCGCATACCCAGAGGTCGTCGATTGAAGCAATGGTGCAATTTTGGCTACGTACGGTGCGAAATAATTTCAACGTACATACATATACACCACGGTCACTCGATCGGCAGGGGGCGTGTGATGGGGTAAAAGTGCGGGTGCTCTCCCACTTCTGAGATATCTGACCAGAGTGGAAGAGTAGGCCAAAGTTCCCTCTGGAGCAGGGGTTGGCAACCTGCGGCTCTGGAACCGCATGCGGCGACTCTTTGACTTTTTTTTTTTAACGTAAATCTTAAACATCATTGAACTTAAAGATTATTTATTAAAAATGTCAGGGAATGGGTCACTGGAATGTCTTGGTGACAACAAAATGTACTACATTCAAACTGTATTGTTAAAGAATAAATAAAGGGGGTGGGGACAAGATAGATGCAGTTTATTCCATCACGTATTTTGTTTATTCAAGTCAGAATTGGTTTGTCATTTGCTGTATGCCTGGTGTGCTTGTGTATGTGTACAAGTAGCTCTGCGTGTGATGCGGCTCTCAAAACTACTTTGGTCAGAGACATATACAAAAAAAATGGCCCTTCCTCTTTGAAAGGTTGCCGACTCGTGCTCTAGAGGGACTTTCTAGAGCTCCCTCTCGTGAAAGGCTTCCTGCTAGCCATGGTGTGTGCAAGCGATTGCTTGCGCTTGCTATTTACCATTTACATTACAGCGCCACGGGCACCGCGGGATATTCGCGTGCCCTGCTGTGGTGGTCAGGCAAACAAATGCAAATCGCAGCCCCTAATGGCCAACTCTTCAGTTCACGTGAATTCACTGAACTGCCATTATTTATTTAGCCCTTCCAGTGTACATTGAATTCCCGACGAGTGCTGCTTTGATCGACGCTCACATCGAGCCTTCTCCTTGTATGTTACGTCGCCAGTTATACCCCCTCGGGGTGGGGGGGGGGGGGAATCAAATGTCCTTGCTTGGTGATGGCATTAGTGGCCTTTTCGCTTCTCAGTTGGGATGAGGGTATCTTCACGCAGGCGTGGAACAGAGCGGTCTGTGCGCAATGAGCCTCCTGAACGTAAACTGTTGTGCAGATATCGGCCCTACGCTGTTTTGCCCGGTGGCATCAGGGAATGCTTATGTCACGTAAAATAAACAATCGAGTGCTCAGTGTGCTTACTACTTAGCCAATTTAAAAAGAGTGGGCCGATCGATCCACGCTGCCGTCCGGTAATTTCTGCAGGGAATTATCCAAGCACACTGGTGTAAAGTGGATCTTAAAGACCCTTTGACATAACTCACGAAGCCAGGCCACTGTGCACCTATGTTATAAACTAAACAAAACTTTTTTCAATAACACTGTAGCCGAAAAAGATAAAATAATGATAGGCAACATTTCTGGCAATGGTTCTTCTCTATAAAACACGTTAATTGTGCTTGTGCACCACTGCCAATGCAGTATCACTAAATATATTGTTTTAATTATATCTTCAATCTGCTGATATTAATGTATATGAAAGAAGAAGACTGCATCCTGTATTTTTAAAACTCCCTGCGCATTGCAACAAAGGGTACATATCTTTATGCACCCCACCTCTGTCCACCCAGCATAAATGTACGCGATTTAACCCAAAATAACTCTTTTGGATGATATTGGTCGCGAAAGCCTACGTGTTAAACAGTATAATTGGGTTCACCGCAGCTAGTTGATTGGCAGGTTGCCCGTTGGTCGGGTCGAGCAATTTGTCTAGCCAGCATGCAAAGAGTAGGCAAAATACCCTCCTAGAGGGGCTCTCTATAGAGATCCCTTTTTAAGAAGCCCCCTTTTGCCAGCAATGGTGCGGGTCAAGCAATTGCGGGGCCTATACCTATACCTTTTACCTCTTTTTGACTGCAGGTCATGTATAAGTGGGGCTCCGCTGGGTCAATAGACGTGAATATTAGAAATCTCACAAGCATTGAAAATGCACGCTCGGGGTTGTGGCAGCAGGGATGCGCGGGCATCATCAGGCTCCGTGGAACAGTGAATTATTACGTCCCTGCTGAGAGGGCAGCAGTGGCACTGCCTTGGGACCAGAAATCAAAATTAATGAGTAAGCCAAATACCCTCTACGTAGGGGCTCACTCGAGCTTACTCTGGTAGAGACCTTTGCTGCCAGCAGTGGCACGAGCGAGCATTTGCAAGGCTGCGCATTTACCTCTACCTTATGCCCCTGAAACTTGTGCGGCCTTGCTGTGCTGCCCTCCATTTGTACTTGGTTATTCTCCCATCTCCCATGAAGATGACAGTTTGATGCTGAACTATCGATTCTTTATGATAACCTCCTTTGCAATTGCATTTGGCTGTTTTCCTTGTTTGGTTACGTAGTAGTTCTGGAGTCTCCCTATAGTCTGTTTAGTGTTTCCGTCGCTAAGTTTTGTTATTGTTAGCTGTGTTCAATCTTCATGTGACCTGCCCGAGCCTATTTGCACTGCATGAAATTATATTTGCAGTGTTTTCAATTGTTCATGCGAAACAGCCGTTGTTTTTTTTTCCGAGTTCAGGTTTTGCTTTTGTCGTTTCCGTGACCCAGGTAGCCCTTACCAATGGCACTCCCCTTGGTCTCTTGAGATTTCACCTGGTCAAACTAAATAAAATTGGTGACACCTGTCCGTACTCCTATCCCAATCATCAGCTGGTGTCGGAGGTGGAATATTGCCGCTTCCTGGGGAAGGGACTGGCCATCGCCGAGAACCGCAGCGCTGACAGCTACCACTGCGTGACGGCCGACTGCCTCGGCTGGTGTTTCTACGAGGACATGGTGAACGATTTCCTGTGTCCCATCTGCAAAAAGTCCAACTGCCTCACCTGCAAGGTGTGTGCACGTGTGCGGTTTTTGTATATTTGTGTGTGTGTGTTTTTTTCGGCTTTGCTTTCATCACAATTACGGCTGTTCTACCTGCAGTCGCTACACGAGATGAAGGCATCGTTTTTTGTACTCTTGGAGCTAGCAGTGCATCACCACGTGCTGTAGAATGGTGCTGAAATACAAAGGTCATTAACACCGTTTGCCCCCAACAGTTTTTAAATCTATGAGGCTGCACGAGAGCTTTTTATCTTTGTCTGTGTGTGTGTGTGCGCGCGCTGCATGCAGGCCATCCATGAGGGAATGGACTGTCAGGAGTATCAGGATGATCTGAAGCTGAGGTCAGACAACGACCAGGCAGCAATGCAGACCAATCTAATGCTGCAGGTGGGATGTTATAGACACAGCAGAATGCCACTTTGTTGTCGGCACTCACAACTATGCAGTGCAGTTGGGGAACCCACCTGAACCCTACGTAATGACTTTCTGTATTCTCCTGCACATTGAGCCGAGCAGTTTGCATTGAACAACGGGTGTGGTACAAATTCCCAAATCGTTTTGGCCACTTTTAATTGTGTGTTAGTTGGATTGCACCTGAGACAAGTTCCCTCTCCAAAGATGTATCGAATGAGCCAGGTGCATGGCACTTAATTTGGGTAGTCTCTGACCCCAAACTTGTAACTTCGAGCACTGTCGCATTCGGAAAATAACACTTATTTTATGAGCACGAGGGGTCTTTGTGATTTAAGATACAACAATGCAGAGGATTCGTCTGCAATAAACAACCAAATCCACAAGTAGGAGAGAACAATTGGCATTGCTTGTGTGCGGTTCGAAGGAAATGTGAGCAAGCGTACAATTGAGTTATGGCTGCTATGACGTTGCTATTTTTGGCACGGAATAAAAAAAAATACGAAAAGTGGATGGAGTGGTGGCAGAGTGGTTTGTGCTCTGCGTTATAAACCAACGGGGACTCGAGTCTTTTTTTCCCCCGCAGTCACGGCTAACATCAGTGGTGAGTCATAACTGAACCGGTCCTACCCACCCTTCACCGACCCGCAATGATCGGTGGTGAAGTATGGTTGCAAACACCCCACGAAAGTCTTGGTATGGGCGGGTGGCCCTTATCCAGCAGTGGATTGACGAAGGTTCCATGATTATAAGTTATTAGGAAATGTGATTCCGATTTTAGGGTTAACACGTAAAATATAGAAATAGGGCCTTTCCAATAAAAATACGAGTGTAGAAAATGTTTTAATTAAAACCTCATCGCCGTGAGCAGTGTACATATATTTTTTTACGTATTGTATAATTTGACAAAACACGAAATTGACTTCGCTGGCCTCGGTCTCGATTTGTCCCCCCACCCACCACACCCCCCACTCGGGGAGGCCTCGCGATGCGCCGTGTCCCCGCGTGACCCTGCCTTCTCCCGCCCCGGCAGACGATGGTGCAGACGGGTGATGCCATGCACTGCCCGACGTGCAAGGTGATCGTGCAGAAGAAGGACGGCTGCGACTGGATTTGCTGCAGCATATGCAAGACCGAGATCTGCTGGGTGACCAAGGGGGCTCGCTGGGGACCTAATGTGAGCATCCTCGCAATGGACACGAGAGCTCTTGGGTTCTCGCGCCACAGTGGCGAAATGTTAACTACCTCTCCTGGTATCCAGGAGGGTGTGGGTTCGATCCATCCCAATCCTGATGCCTGTATATTTGGAATTTGCATGTTCTGCTCGTGGTCGCGTGGATTTTTCTCCGGGTCCTCCGGTTTTTCCCTCCGCGTTTAGAAACATGCGTTTAGAGTATTTGGCTGCTATACTTTTCCACGTGATAAGCCACTTTGTTGAACTATCACTTGTGGTCAGGTGGCTTCTGAAAAAGAGCTATACAGCTCAGTGGGCCTTACCTGGTAAAATAAAAATAGTTACTCATCACTCCACTACTCGTGACGCAATTATCTGGCTTAACCACCGCAGTGTAAACTGATTTGCTGTTGCTCTGCATCAACGTCAGCCGAACGCAGAAGGAGCATTCGTCATCAGCCACGATCAATTCACTGCTCGAGGAAGGCCTCCCTTGGCGGTCGCCATCTCTCACAATCTCACAATGACCTCATGGAAACAAAACGTTGTGAATGAGCACGCAATTTAGTCGTGGCCGCAGTGATGTTGATGGGTTTTTTTGTTTGTTTTTGCCGCGGAGGCTTAAAATTCATTTTAGTAAACTTTACAGCGGGCCAGTTTTCACGGGCTCACTTCTCACTACTTGCTAGTTTAATATAAGGGTAAGTTACATATGATTATGTTACAATATTGCCGCCATGGTATAATGGTTAGCACATTGGATTGGCAATTCACATATCTCCGCTTTGATCACCCGGCGCGGCATTTGAGGCAGTGTGCAGGTTTCTTGAATTCCGCTATCCACCCGGCAGCATATTTGGGTTCACTAGAGTGAATTGGCAGGTGACGTGCGTAGGGGTAAAATGTGGGTCCCTGGACCTCTTCCAAGGTTAGCGTGGAAGATGAGCGCCAAAATACCATCTATAGGGAACTCTCCATTGCTCCCTCTAGTGGAGGCCATGCCACCCAACAGTGGCATGAGTAAGCAATTGCAGGGCTGCGCTTGTAACTTCATCACCTAATGTGACTGATTGTGTGTGTGTGTGTGTGGCTTTGCGTGTTGGCACCTTGCGTCATTGCAGGGCACAGGGGACACGAGTGGAGGCTGTCAGTGTCGCATCAATGACAGGATGTGCCACCCTGATTGTATGAACTGCCACTGAGATGGAGGTCATCACTTGCAACAGAAATTCGCGGTGACTTTGTGTGACTCGCCGACGTGTTTTCGGTACTCCGGCACCTGTGGTTTTGCATTTTGTTTGATGTTTCGCTGCTCGCGATGAGTGCTTCTTCGTGAAGTTAACTGCAGTTCTGAAGTTCGTGAAGAAACTCCCAGCATCTGGAGCAAAACGTCGGACATCGTGCCGAACAACACGCCGTACGACCCAGAAACACGTGGGAGAACCACACAACAGACCATTGAAAAGCTTTGAGGTAGGAATTATTGTTTTTCCTCATGATGTTGCTTCAACTAAAAGTCACACTTTTGAAAAGTAAGCACAAGTAACTTGAACAAAAATTTCAACCATCTGACTTTAAAAATCACATTCTAATTAAAAGTTTTCATCTGCGTTGGGCTCGGGGATATGATATAATTTCCGCAGATGTTTTCTCGTAAAATAATCATTCTTCTCACCAATTGGGTGCGAAGAGACACATGACATGTGATTTGCTTGCCTGGCAACCATCTGTTAAAATGGAAATCTGTGCGGGTAAAACTTCGTTATTATGGATTTAGAACCACCTCATGCTTGCAATTTGCAGGGTTTTTTTAAGCTTGACATGATGGTGTCAAGAGGTCCAATTCCCATTAAAATAATTGTACGCTTAATGGCGAGATTTTCTTTTATGTTAGCATTTGTGTTTTGTATAAATGTTGATCCTATTCGGCAGGCCACTAGTCACCTTAAATCACAGGTTGCATGCACGTTGTGCCCCAACTGCCGATGGTGTGCATTCATTTTTTTTGTTCAGAGCAAAAGCGTTAAACTTTTTCTTTGTGGAAATCAATACCCGTGTCATGTTACAGGATATATTATTGCTTTAGGAGGGGTCATCCTTTATCCTTTATTCGTGACCAGGATTTATTGCCTTGCTAGGTTCTTTACAAAATCACTACAAACCTAATGTACAGACGACGTCTATCTCCGCAGTGCACAATACAGCATGCCTAGCATCTCGGACATGTGTTTTTTTTTGTGGGCTTGCACCGCGTCTCGTTCAGCACGATGTCCCCGGCGTTACCTTTCCACGTGCCGCAGTTCCCGAAGTAGCTCCCGCAGCACATGGAGCGAAATGTCAGACATCGTAAGCAAGGGGGGGGATTGGAAGTTTGTGGAATTTCGCTCGCGAGGAATTGAATTGTCTTCATCACCTCCAGTCCCCGATTTCGTTCAGTTCCTGAAGACGCTCCCGGCACGTGGAACGAGACATCGTGCCAAACAGGATGCGGTACAGCCCGAAAATACACCGGAACTGAGTGTACTGTCACCGCACGCATGGCCACTCGGCCAGCACTAGAAATTCATACGTTTAGCAATATTCTTATAATATAGAAATGAGTGAATGTGTATGTATATATACTATTTTTTTCAATGTACCTAACATGCATGCAGGTACCGTGGTAATTCCAAATCTCTTTGTGGCCAAACAAGTTGTGATAAAAAAGGGCTTTACCCTTTTGGCATAATACAGGTGTTTAGATAAAGCCATAAAAGTGGCTGTCCCTGGTGTATGCGAATCCGTGTCAAGGACAATGTATATACATAACGCATTTTTCAATTGCATGTTTTACCCCAAGTATGTGTGGTTAATGGAGACGTTGTGCCTCGTAATAGTTGTCTAATTGGCGTTTCTAGACCTACGCATATAGTAGCAGAACTGTGTTCTGTCTCCACATATATAAAACAATGTTTTAGTCCATTGGCCTATTGGCTTTCTAGACGAATATTATCTTGTCCAATATAATTTAAGCAAGCAAACTCTGGGCCGCTTCCAACCTTCTGGTTCTCATGAATAGAGTCAGGCTTGTTTAGACATGCTGCTGGATTACCAGATGCAATTGGTAAGAGCCGCTCCCATATAAACCATGGGGCCCTATCTATGCAAATCGAAATGTTGTATTCAAACTCATCAGATGATGTTTTTTTTTCTAAACAGCAAAGCACTCCAAATCCACACCTCGGACAGCCAGCCAGCCAGCCAGCTCGTTGCCAGCCGTGTTTGACCAAATAGAAGAGCAGTAATGGTGGAACCCGTGGTGGCTTTTTTTTCTATTCTTTTGTCGGCACTGAGGTGTGCTCAGCCCGGAGATTGGTCGACGACGTGTGACTGTTGCAGTAGATGACGATGTAGTGGCAGTGGCGGCGCGCTTCCCGTGATATGTGATTGGTCGGTCCGAGTGCACTGCAGGCGTGCGTCTTGGTAGACGGTCGGTGAGTGACCCCCGCCTGCTTTGTTGGGAGTGCTGCCGGGGTGCGAAGGCTGCGCGAGGGAGCTGCTTCGGCGATTGAGAGACTATTCCTGGTCAACGCTTGGTAATGCAAACTTACATTGATAATTAACAAAAACGTCAACTCGTACCGTGCCGCCACAGTATTGGCTCGCACCAGGAGAGAGAGAACCACGGACGAGCGGGAAAGGCAGCCAGGCGGTGAGCCGGTGAGCCGGTGTCAAATTACACCCACAAGCTCTGGGCTCTTGTACGAAACGAATAATTTAGAGCTTCATTTGAACACATTACAATCCACTTGTGAGAGTTTTTATTTTATTGTATTATTGCCTCAGAGTTGGTTGCACAATAAACATTTACTTGGTTCATCCACTTGATTTGCACGCTCTCAATTTATAGATAGCCCTACTTTCTGGAAAGTAGCGTTTCGTGAGAGCTCTTTCGAGGCTCCTAACGCAAAAAAAACAACATAACTCTTAAATTGACCGTTAGCAGCTCCTGCGACGCACACCCCCTTGCTCAACAAGCGCGGTTTTAAAAAGCAATTATTGGCACGCCGCGTGTTGCTTGCGAGAGTAAAAATGTTGCCTCTTTTTCCAACCGTGCCAGCAGCTGTCGGGTGCAATAGTGAACTCGGGCAAGTGACACCCGAAGCCTGTGTAGTTTTTACACCTACGTAACAAGGTATATATATATTTGCTTTTTGGCTTGTTCATAACATTAATTTGGTATCGTGAATTGGTTTCTAATTACGACGAGCAATTTAATTGGCTGTGAGATGCAAATCGCTTTCCTTGCAGTGCTTGGGATGCGTGTTTGCGCTTACATGACGTTTAAACAGAGAATGGTGCTGATCGTACAGAAATGTATTTAATTAGTTGGTCCAGACTATTGTGAACCGCTGATTTTTTTGGTATTTTATTTCCACCACCGTGAGTTGCAGTAATTTCTAAATTTGCAATTTCATTTACATTTTTCATTAATTTCTTGTGAATCGCAAATCGACGGCATTGGTATTTCCATTTGTTACTTTGCTCATAACGAAATTTCAAAAGAATGAAATTGGTGAATGAAAAAAATGAAAGTGTCAATGCGTCTGAATGCAGTTTATCGGCACTTTCAAAATTCTGAATGAGGCGTATCAGCTGAAACATTTGCGTTATAATTCTTATCATACCCGTCGTAAATTCTACTTTTTTGTTAGTAACTATGAAAGAATGCATCGTACTTTTCTATTTATTTTTAAGGATTGATTTTTACGTGGTTGCTCATGGGTTACACTGTTAACTTTGGAATGAGGGCATTTACTTAAAAATAAAATGTGGAAAAAAGCGGTTGTGTTTTACTCGTGTTTACCGTGTTGCCGTGTCGCGTTGAGGATGTGTTTGATGCGGGATGAGGGGCCACGTGGTTTGTGTGCTTTGCCTGGAGTTTGTGGCAAGAAACCTTGGTCATGTGTGATGATCTGCCTGGGTTGTAAGATCGATGTGTTCGCAGTTAAGGCCCACTGCTGTGCATAAACCATTTGACAACCAATTATTTTCACACGTAACTGTCATTCTCCATGACGTCTATTTTTCTCAAAAATATTATTTTTATTTCTTCAGTTATTACAATTTTGTTCATTGGATTAAAAAAAACCTAACAAACCTGTGAGTCATGTTATGCTCCGGTAAAAAAAAAAAACAATACAAAATGTTTATTTTTAAAATCAGTTTTGGAGTAAGTTTTCAAACCCACGGAGCAGATGGATCCATGTGCAATTATATACTCAATGTACAGCTCTTTGTCAATCCACCGCTAGATGAAGCCCTTCACATACCACATAATGAGTGGGCGGGGGGGGGGGGTTGCCCATACTTCACACCGGTCAGTGCGGGTTGGTGAATAGTGGAGGAGACCTAGAACCGGTTCAGACATCACTGGCCACTGATGTTAGCCATAGCCGGGAATCCAACAATTAAACTTGACTCGTGTAAGTGATTACAGCGCAGCGCCCCAACCACTGCGCCGCCACTCCCCCCCCCCCCCCCATCAAAACTAACAGCCGTGGTCATACTCTTTGGTTCTATTCGGTAAAGTCACGTAGGTAAAAAATAAAACAAAAATCACGACGTTTCGGCCACAACACAAGTGGCCTTCATCAGGTGAACGGACCAGACTGTCTAGAGGACAGCGCTGGAGTGAACACAGCCAAGCTCAGACCGCGATCTTTAAGCTGTGTGAGAGGAAACAGGTGCCTTGACAAAGGAATTAGCATAAAAATTAGCATTTAATTGGCGGACTTAGCATGATGAACGGTGTAGAGGGGGTGAACATGTGCAGGTCGGCGAGGGGGGGAGGGGAGGGGGGAGTTTACATATTGATGGTGTGAAAAGGGAATTTAAGCAGCTGCGAAAGTTTGGGTTACCACTACTTGAAAAAAATATACTGTACCATTGAAAATTAGCCGTGCCCAAATTGTGATTTATAGCGTGACACAAAGAAAACAACAAAAGCGCCAATCTAGATTTGAAGTTTTCGTGACTGCAGAGATCCACATACTCTTTGGTTCTTTCGGTAAAGTCACGTAGGTAGAAAATAAATTAAATCACGACGTTTCGGGTGCAACACAGGTGCCCGTCATCAGGTGGAAACAACCACAGCAAGAAATAATTGCTGAGGTGGGCGACTTTTGTTTTTGCCCACTTCAGCATTTTTTTCTTGCTGTGGTTGTTTCCACCTGGTGACGGGCACGCGTAGTTGCGCCCGAAACGTCGTGATTTAATTTATTTTCTACCTACGTGACTTTACCGAAAGAACAAAAGCGCCCTCCTTTCTAGCCCACCTTGAACTCATTTTCTTGGTTCTTTCGGTAAAGTAACGTAGAAGGGAAATAATAAAATATTACAAATAAAACAATAAAATTCTCACGACGTTTCAAAAAAATAATTTTCTTGCTGTGGGTTTCACACCTAATGATGATTGCTTGTGTTGCAATCGAAACGTCGTGAGAATTGTGTTGTTTTGTATTTTATTATTTCCCTTCTACGTGACTTTACCGAAAGAACCAAGAATATGAATCCCTGCAGTCACGAAAGCTTTAAATCACCTTGAACTTATATTTTTTCGAACATCCCCTTTTCTTTTCGTCATTTCCTACAAAATATTGAATTTTCTCTTTGGACGTGGCCAGACAGACCGACCGACAGGGCGGTTCAGAACGTTAAAGCAACAAACAGTAGAAAAACATGATAGTAGTGCAACGTATACGAAAGGTAAACAAATCACCCAAATACGTAAAAAGAAACCATCCCCATCCTGCCAGGAAAAGCCCACTGAGGCATTCACTTATTTTTTTAGAAGCGACCTGGCCACAAATGACAGCTCAATAAAGTGGCCCATCATTTGGACATTTATTGCACCAAAATAATCTAAATAATCTCAATGCATGTTTCTAAATGTGGAGGGGGAAAGAAAACAGAGGACCCGGAGAAAAGATCCACGAGACCACGGGTAGAACGTGCAAACTCCAAATATACAGCGGGCATCAGGGTCGGGATTGAATCCACGACCTCCTGTATACCAAGCGAGGTAGTTAACATCTCCTAGCCACCGTGATGATGATGAGAGAGAGAGACACGCAAACTCCAAATATACAGCGGGCATCAGGGTCGGGATCGAATCCACGACCTCCTGCATACCAGGCGAGGTAGTTAACATCTCACCACCGTGGCGATTAAAAGCAGAACAATGAAACGACAACAAAAAAGACGTGGCGATGGAGTAGGCGGTCGTATTTAATGAATTTCATGAATAATGGGGGCAAAAAAATAATCGCAGCAATATCTCACCCCCGTGGTGCCCCTTTAATAAAGAAATAAAGTACTTAAGTTAATCTAAGTGCAGGGGCACCTAAATTCGTATCATTGCAAAAAATGTGTGCCTCAAATCTGTGGACACGTAGCGGACACAATATACAGCATCGCGTTGCAATTATACATCTGCCCGATGTGTGTTCAGGTTGTGCCGCGTGTCGTTCGGCGCGATGTCCGACGTTTCGCTCCCGAGGCGTGGAGCAAAACGTGCAGGGCTGTTACGTGCTGGGAGAGAAACGTCGGACATCGCGCCGAACAGCAGCGCACCTCCGATGTGCACGGTTGGCTACGTACGGCGCGAAAGAAGTTCAACACAGTGCAGCCTGAAAACAAACAACCTCAGTATTTGTATTGCAGTTGTATTGCAATTCACAATGTGAGCCAATGCAATGGCTTTAGGTGCAAAAACTACACCTGGGTGATACAGAAGCTGGATTTTGTCGGTGTGATCACGAAAATTACAATAGACAATAGATCATCCCGAGAGTAATTAATAATGTTGTTTTGAAGCATGTTTTGCCTTGCGGTGGTTCTGCCACGTGTCATTGTATGCATCAACCAGCTGGTGGCAACCTTATGCAGGCTGTGGAAAGTTAGCCAGCGGTGCAGTCTTAATATAATAATTATTTTGCAGCCCTTTGTGAATCCACTGCTGGATGAAAACCCTCTCGACGCCCGTGTTGGTCATGGGGGTCATTTGACCATACTTTACCATGCTGGTCAGTGTTGGGTTAGTAAACGGTGGGAAAGGTGGAGGTGGTGGGTTACCGCTTCGAATATCACTCACCATTGATGTTAGCCGTGATTGGAAATCGAATCGAGGTCGCCGGGTTTATAGCGCGTGAGACTTAAGCACTGCGTATCCAATTCGTGAGCAACGTAGTAGCGGTTATCCTGCGGATGGACTCACCGCCCCCCGTCACACGATTGCGGAATGTCTACCGCGATGAGCATGCTTGGCTACGCACGGTGCGAAAGGCGTTCAACGTACGTTACACCCGTTCATGCAGGCTGTGAATAGGACGTGAGCACCACCTCAGCAGTGCCGGATTATCCTCGTAGCAAAAGTAGCTACACATGTAGTAGTAGCTACGGGCCCCGCACTTTCAAGGGCCCCGCGCTAAATGCTTTCAAGCTATCAATTCCGGTTCAGTGTTTCTGCACTTACTATAGTACTATACCGCCTTAAACTTTTATGAACGACTGGGTGTTTAAGGTTAGCGATTTGTCGTATTATCTGTCTGTGTGAAAAAATACAATTGCTTTACTATGCAAGCAAAAAAAATTCAGTTTTAATATTGGTGTTTTATTTATTTATTTAAGGCCCCTTTATAACATATGATACAGCCTTCAGGCCCCGCACTAAGTTAATCCGACACTGCACCTCAGTGCTGGTTTGAGCAGGAAATCACTTTGGCTTCTGAAACTAAATTACCGAATCGCCACCGTTGTGCCTGCGCAGGTCAGCACGTGTCGATGACCAGCAGCTGTGGGCGTTGCGTCCCAGGACCGGTTCGGACATCACTCGCCGCTGATTTTATCCCGAGCCGGGAATCAAATTCGGGTCACCGGGGTTCATATTCGCAATGGCGCTAACGACTAACGCCTCCGCTCCATATCACCTCCATTGCCGTGGTTAAAGATCGGGAGCGTGGCACCTGACACAGAGTTACGGCATCACCTCCGCAAGATTACGGCTGAGGGTTTTTGGTTAAAAACAGGCCTCTCTTCTCCCTTGCTGTTACATCTCCAATCCCATCTCTCCGGCCATCCTTCAACATCGAGCCTCATTCCATTACACACCCCCACCCCCCACCTTCCTCGTCCTCCATCTCCTCCTCGAGTGCCCTCCCTCCGCACGATGCTGTAATCTTTTTGAGCAAAAAAATGGACCGAATAAGGTCTGTGGCGGGGGTTTGTGGTTGCGGGAAGGCTGAAAAGAAACGTGTGTAAACTTTTTTTTGCTGTTGTTGCTGTGACTGATTAGGTCATGACGCGAATCTAGACTGGATTGTCGAAGCTTCGTGGGTAAGTCACTCCGTCCCCCCATGGCCTAGAACTCCTCTTCAGTCAGTCATCTGTGCTGTAGACTCCCAGTCTCTGTTTGAATGCAGGCTTAAGACCTTCCCCACATCCCCCCATACCACAGCCTCTGACTGACTGCCTCGACGTAAAATAAATATGCAAACTGTGTTTCTAAAGCGTTCTGTGATGCGGTCACATTTGGACGCTGTATGAATCCAAATTGCATTGTATTCCAAATTGTATTGTATAAATTGTACTGTCAATCATAGGTAAGGTAAAGGGCTGCCGCAGGCAGTGGAAAGGTTTGGGCTACCTTACACCTCGCCCTTTTGACGAGGGTCATTCTAGGTTAACCTGCAGTTTCATTCACTTTATAATTTTCGGAACGCGAGAACGGAACTGACCCCGGCTTCACATCCGCATTTGTCCCATCGGTGCTGTGATGCCTC